CTCTCTCTCTCTCTCTCTCTCTCTCTCTCTCTCTCTCTCTCTCTCTCTCTCTCTCTCTCTCTTCAAAAAAGAAAGATGAATGACCTGACATTACTTGTTAGCATGTGTAAATATCCTGAAAACCACTTGGGTCGAAGCGTATGCAAGGTCGGTCGGAACTTGGTCCTAGCATGCCCATTGGGCATTACTTTCTTAGCATACCAAAACAAAAAAGGGCGAGGCTGAGAAAATGATACCTGATTGTATCCAGTGAGGCTAGAGTCAACCCTAGAGTGGAACATCCGAAAGAATCTCGTTATCCTCGCATCTCGCAATATCTGCTTACGACATGGGTAGTTATCTTCTTTCACACACAAGCGGATATTCTGGTGCAGGGAAATCAATACATGTTTTTTACCCACGCACGCATCTCTACAGAAAGACTAAGAACTACGAGATCACTCAGTTGCTGTATGGAAAACTCCATGTCATTGACATTGACTACGCAGTACCTCTTACTCGTACTCTGGCCTGCTCTTTGTCTTAGCAGAGACAGAACCGTTTTGCCCTCTTGTTGTTCGATTTCTCACCTTTCAACAGCTTGGGACATGTCTTGTTGCTGTGATGACTTGCAAAGAAAGACACGATGGAGCGCAAGATGGAGGAGATGCAGGAAAGAATCAAGGAATTGGAAAATGCGCAGGCCGTGCAATCGAAGAATGAAGACGAACGAAAGGTAGGTAGGCAGATAGGTAAGATAGGTGGGAAGGTTGTCCACCTGGCTAGGTGCTTGCTGAACTTGCTATGCCTTACTCTCCAGGGTCAAATGGCAGTATGATGGCGAAAGTCAACGATCGAGGGTGCACCCCCGTAATGAATGAATTTTGCATGAGAATCAGGCCAGAAACGTACAGCCTAGGAAATATGACGGAGTTAAGCACCCATGTCTCCGAAGACTCGGAACCAGAAAGCAGAAGATCGCTCCACGTAATGGGGCCAAAGGACCATTGGCCATCCAATCACAACTCCACTTTCATCATACCGCAGGATAGCACTCCGTGTTATTGTACCACGACTTTGCTTGGGACATCATCATCACTGAGTGAGCTTGCTCTCCACGACGCCACGTCATAACACCATCAGCCATCAGCTTGCTCTCCCACATGTCATATGTACTATACAGTGCTATACGCTGAACATTCAGTCCTCAAGGAAAACTGAAGAATGACTGTTCTCGATCGAGTGGTAATGCAGAGGTTGAGGTGGAGAGAGCGCATTTCGGGAAGGGAGAGGGAGTGTGGGATCATGAAGAAAGGGGTCTGTCAGAGAAGGAAAGAGGTTCTATGTGTCTGTCAGCATCAGATAGAATGATCCCAAACTCGAAGTGAATTCCCTTTCCGGAAGACACATTCGTCGCTCACCCGCTCGCAGTGATAACCAGAGATGAGTTGGAAAATTTAGTCACATAGATCTTGTATTTTCAATTTTGCCTAAATTTGTCGGTTACCATGCACACGTTTATAACGGAAAATATTTTGTTGGTTTAAACTTTAAACTTTCAACTTTAAAGATAAGTACTGACGATACGGTTGGTCATGGATGTGGAGAATTTTGCTTCATAGCTTGTCAGAGCTGGTTTCCTGTGCAGAGAAGCACGCCACCATTCGAAATTTCGAGTCCATGTTAGTTACACCTGGGGCCTTCTTCTTGTACTTGCATCCCCCTTGTCTGATGGCTCCCTATACACTGAAGACCATCTTGTTGTGCGTGCATCCGCCTTGTCTGATGGCTCCCTACACACTGAAGACCATCTTGTTGTTCTTGCATCCTCCTTGTCTGCTGGCTCTGTAAGCATCTGAACTGTTCCTCAAGAGTTGCCAAACGTAGCTAAATGACACTTGTCGGTGCATGCTGCGCCGTCCCTCATTGTTGCCTCACCCAATAAGCTGCCCACCTGGTATTTTGCATGGCCGCTTCTCCTCTTTACATCGTCAATTCCTTCATATTTCGTCGTTTCCAGCTTGTCCATGGTCTCCAGCTTCCTCCAAACACCATCTTTAAAGAAAACCAGTCTCCCTAGGTACAGCTGTTAACAATCAATAGCTTGTTTATATTTCTTCCTTGCAGCTGTCCCAGCAGATTGTCCATAATGGTGTCTTCCTCATCACCTGTTTCCAAAAATAGTGTAAGGTCTGGGGGAATGCCCAGCATTACCACAGTGGTTTTGTGGGA